TAATTTATGCATATTTATTCATTTAGCATTCGTCTTCAATGATTTCATATCAAGTTGAACTGAAATCACAACTGGATGGCTGGGAAAATCATCAATCAGTTCTGCCAGTTGAGATGTCAGATATGGCGAGCTTCCAATTAATACAAGCTTTTGACGTATCACCAGGACATGAAGAAGGGCGAAAGACGAGTTATAGCGATTTATAAAGAGATCCATCATACGATCTTATGGAGTTGGCTATATTTGTCTCTGTTTAATACTGTTCAGTTTAGATGCCTCAGTTTGATCACAATTATATAACGTTCTCGCAGGCCCCTGGAGTATAACAAGTTGGTCTCCCGAACCAATTCGTTCGATCCGCATGGAGTGCCAATTTTTAATGTCCAACATATACTTAGAAATTAACGTTCATATATTTTGAAAAATTTCTACATATCTATCTATCTATTATTATTTTTTTTATATCTATCACAGATTTTTCCTATCTATCTATCTATCTATCTATCTATCTATCTATCTATCTATCTATCTATCTATCTATCAGTTTTTCATATCTATCTATATATCCGTCTTTTCATGTCTATGTATCAGTGTTTTTATATTCTGTCAGTTTTTCAAAATTTTCATATCTATTAGTTTTTCATGTCTATCTATCATTTTTTAAAATATCTATCTATCACACAGCCGGACCGGTTCGATCCGAGGTCCTTTCCACGTTGGCCAGCACTGCAACCGGTTAACTGTTGGCCGCTCCGTTCCTTCATCCGCTCTGTCCACCTAAGCGCTGAATCAAGTTGTAACGGAACCGTGGTATGAAAAAGATATAGAATACTTTCGCTGGTGAAAATACAAATCTCGAAACAAATAACAAAGAAGGTAGCTGGATTAATTTTAAATTGGTTTATATAGCTGTTGATAGAACAAAATTAGCCCTTCTCGTTAAACTCTCTGTCGTGGCACTGTGTTTCTTGCTTCTAAAACTTGGAGCGGTTAAAACATTCACACAAGATGGTCGTCGGGAATTCTCGGCAGAACAAAACCTTGGAGAATTGAGTTACTAAAACTGAAACTAAGATATCAGGAAGAGGCATGGTACGTGGAACTAGAACAATCTACCTCAGTGAAGAAAATAAAGGGTTCGAATCAAGATTTCAATCACCAGAAGAAAGCCGGGTCATACAACGACCGAAACGTCGTGAATATAGCAACGAAGATGAGGTCAACAGTCCGAACAATGTAAATAGTGTAAAAGTTACAATACTTCATCTCAGAAATAGAGACAGATCCTGAAGAAGGCCGGATCATACAACAGCCGAGACGTCGTAAATATGGCAACGAAGATGAGGACAATAGCCCCAACAATGTAAATAGTGTAAAAAGTTACAATACTTCATCTCAGAAATAGAGACAGATCCTGAAGAAGGCCGGATCATACAACAGCCGAGACGTCGTGAATATGGCAACGAAGATGAGGACAATAGTCCCAACAATGTAAATAGCGTAAAAAGTTACAATACTTCATCTCAGAAATAGAGACAGATCCTAAAGAAGGCCGGGGCATACAATGGTCGAAACGTCGTGAATATGGCAACGAAGATGAAGATAACAATTCGAACAACGTGAATATTGTAAATAGTTACAATACCTCATCTCAGAAATATAGACTGATCCTGAATAAGGACGTAGCATACAACGGCCGAAACGTCATGGACATGGCAACGAAGATGAGGACAACAGTTCGAACAACCTAAATACTATAAATAGTTACAATACCTCATCTCAGAAATATAGACTGATCCTGAATAAGGCATACAACGGTCGAAACGTCATGAACAAGGCAACGAAGATGAGGACAACAGTTCCGAACAACGTAAATATTTAAATAGTTACAATACCTCATCTCAGAAATATAGACTGATCCTGAATAAGGACGTAGCATACAACGGCCGAAACGTCATGGACATGGCAACGAAGATGAGGACAACAGTTCGAACAACGTAAATACTATAAATAGTTACAATACCTCATCTCAGAAATATAGACTGATCCTGAATAAGGACATAGCATACAACGGTCGAAACGTCATGAACATGGCAACGAAGATGAGGACAACAGTTCGAACAACGTAAATAGTGTAAATAGTTACAATACCTCATCTCAGAAATATAGACTGATCCTGAATAAGGACATAGCATACAACGGTCGAAACGTCATGAACATGGCAACGAAGATGAGGACAACAGTTCGAACAACGTAAATAGTGTAAATAGTTACAATACCTCATCTCAGAAATATAGACAGATAATAATTGTCTTTGACGAATTTCTGAGACCCACCATCAATTCTTTTTGAATTGGTTGAAACTCTGAATTCAAAACCGTGGAGAAGGCAACGGGAAAACACTGAAATATCTTTTCCAACAAGATAAATTAAATGACAATTTATAAAGACGTCTTTAAAAAGCTTTGATCGCTTTCGTCCTGAAGAGTCATAATATTAAAAAGAAATAATTGTTATACATATCAACAGACTTTTATCCTTATGTATATTGAATATAATTACTCTTCCAAAACGCATTAACTCTATATTCACGACATTTTTTAATCATTTGACCCCCAAGTAAGGCAATAAAGTCACTAAGATGCAATGTGTTACTGAGTGTTAGAGAACAGAGAAAACTGTTAGCGTAGAACTTACATCTATATCTCGACATTTCAGCCGTCAAATGATGAGAGCTTGCCGACAATTAGTTCTGTGTTTAAATTCTTAAAGTCAAGGCTCAGTCCGTCAGAACAATTACCATGAAAATATTTACTGAAACGCTGGTGTGAAAGTGACTGCAGGCCAGATGCCAGGTCAGGGCCAGTAAGATTGCAGATTGTTCTTTGGATTTTATCAAAAATCTCTAAATGTATAGCAGGAACACCGTAAATCCGTGACAGATTCAGTTACATTCCTAGATTAGTCGATGCTATTAATGACGATGACCCAGACCGAAGAGTGTAGTTAGATTCTACCTTGATGAGATCTTGCCAAACAGGTGAATTGGATGAAAGCGTTTCGTACAATACGCCCCTGTTCGCCACATCTCACACCACTAGACTTTTTATAGGGATACTTAAATGCAAAGTCTACCCTATGAAATCTGCAACAATAACTGAATTAAAAGCAGCCATTGAACGAGAATGCGCAAAAATACGAAACGAAAGATTGTTTTTTGGATTTTATCAAGAATCTCTAAATGTATAGCAGGAACACCATAAATCCGTGACAGATCTAATCTCTGTTATTCATTATAATTAATATCCAAGGAAAATATATTAAGAACATGACACATATTTACCAAAGCCAGTATTGATTTTCTAAGCGAGGCTTAGATGTGGCACATGGCTGAAAGTATGGGGCACCCAGTGAGGATCGAACTCACTATTCAGTTGTAACAATACCAGCTTTCTAACGATTACACCACACCGAGGCGGCCAACCAAAGCCAGTATATAGCAACTAAAAAAATCGATGTATTCTTTTTCAGCGGGAATTTTTTTTAAGAATCTCATGCAAAAAACAACGTATTGGACATTGGCTTAGTAGACTGAAGCGTTGGATTGTTAATTTGCTGACATAGTGACTGTAAGTTCAATCCCTGGCCCTGGCACTCTGTATTTGCACTCATTAGAAATGGGTCAAACAGTACGAAATAAAAATTAGAACTGGACAATATCCCTAGATATGAGCAGGGTTAAGAGAACAATCTACCCTCGTAGATTAAGTCTACCCCCGTAGATTAGAGTTCAATATTCCTATTCAGTTACCTAGTTCCATGTACACCTGAGGAAGGCCTAAGGGCACAACATTCGAAACGTTGTGATAACAACAAAGACGCTGAGAATAGGCCGAATATAAACAGTGTAAATAATGGTAATTCTTAATCCCAGAAATTACCTACTGCCTTTATTTTTATTAACGATTTTAATTTTGTATTCAAATCCTGATTGTCAGAACAATGTATGGCATTTTAACGCTTCCTGTATTCAGTGATCATGCCTCTCCATGACTTCTTTTCTTTTTTTTATTCACGCTGTTCTTTGTCCCTGTTCTCTTATCCATTCATACTAACTCAATTAGTAAATTACTTCCTTTTTCCGATACCTTTTCTTGCATTCGCTATCTCCCGTGAGTGTTTAATTCCCCAAGTTTTCTTTCCTCATTAATCGTCCCAGAAATGCCAACTGTCTATTTCTGATACCAAGCATCGTTCGCTGTAGCCCCTATTGTCCTTAAAACTTCCTTATAACTCAAATGTGCTGCTGAGAGTATTCCCATCATCCTTCTGTAGAACTACATCCCTGTCGCTTCTAGACTCTTTTTCACCTGTGAAGAGATTGTCCATTATTCACTGCTATATATTTGATTAGAATGAATCCTCTTCTTCTGTTGGTGATACTTCTACTGCTAATGTTGTTTGACTGCATGCTTGACTGCATTCACTGGGTCGATTAATAGATGAAGAAAGCTGGGATGCTGCCAAAGATCTTGTTTTGTCGGTTTGTGCCTAGACACGAACGACAGCATTCCTCAGTAGGATGTAGAAGGAATCCCGGAACATGTGAACCACGAGATTTAAAGAAAATGGCAACGAAAAGGACACATTTGTCTAAATTCAAAAAGAGACATGGAGAATTCGACACTCACATGAAATAGTAAAGACATCGAGTAACCTACCTAAAGAAATTGTGTGAGTGGATGATAGAACAGGGAATGCAATTGATTGGGGTTTTTTTACGGTTTATCAACCATTTGCAGGTTATTTAAAGACAGAAAATATTTTTAGATTGTAAGAAGTTTTTGGAGATAATAATGATTCACTGATACAAGTTCTAATAATTAAGCTATATCTGGCAAGAGAAGAGGTAGGTTCATGTCTTTCCCAAGGCTCTCCAATTTCCAATTATTGGCCATCCACAAGCTTACAACACCTGGCAATTATTGGCCGTCCACAAGCTTACAACACCTGGTATTTATAAACGGTCACCCATCTAGGTACTGACCTGACTAGAAGTTGCTTAACTTCGGTGATCGTACGAAAACCGGTGACTTAACGTGATATAACCGTAAAGCTTTTATGCCACCCACACATGCAAGCTTACAGCATCGTATATTCTCAAACGGTCACCCATCAAAATTGACCTGTCACCCATGCTTAACTTCGGTGATCGTACGAGAACTGGTGAGTTTCGACGTTGCTTTATTTTCTCAAACGGTGATCGTACTGACCTGAAGAACTTAAGTGTTTCAATGTGAAAACCGGTGACTTAACGTGATATAACCGTAAGCCTTTATGGAAACATGCAGGATACAGCAGGTTCTCAAACGGTCACCCATAAAATTTATTAGAGCGACAAGGTGTTTTCAATGTGATATGGCCGTAAAGTTGTGGGATAGCCATAGATCTTCCACGTTCTGATAGGACGTAGCACATAAAAGAAGTATCTTATTTTAACCTTTTCGCCTGAAAATCCTTTTTTGTATATAACAGTGATTTACTGTTACAAGTCTTACTAGTTAACCCATAGCTAGGGAGAGAAGAAGTGGTTTCCTTCCTTCCTCAAGGGTATTTGCGCGTAAGTGAATATGACGAAAACGACTGAAGTTGGAACTCGGCAATCCTGATTTCCAATTCCGAGGAGAGCCTCTTAATTCCATTAAACCACTCTCATCCTGATATCCCCGGCGTCCTGGGTAAGACGAGAAACTACATCCAACGGCAAAGCCTCTGATCAGGAGGTTTTGAGGAGTGTTGGGCCACCTCTTAATTGCTGGTGTTCCCAGCTATTGGCAAATAGTTAACCCCCAAACTGGGGTCAAAACGTGTGAAAATAGGTTTTATTACCAGCAATGAATTTTTGAATAAAAATTTATTATCAGCAATACATTATTACCAACAATAAATTAAAAAAAAAAATATTACCAGCAATACATTTCTGAAAAAAATTACCAGCAATACATTTTTGGAAAAAATATTACCAGCAATACATTTTGAAACAAAAATAAAAGAGCAATAAAAATCTTGTTGGCATTAATTAAACCATTGACGTTGATATGCCGTAAAACAAACCAAACCTTATATTCCCCAAAAATTCGACTATCTAAGTAGTGGCCTTGCTCGACGGTGTTTCAACGTGATGTGACCGTAAACCTGTAAGCGTAGGATGAAAATAATCTAGAAATTCATAATGCGGTCTGTTTTGACGCTTATCGAAAGAATTTTGACACAGAAACTTACGTTATTCAATATACAGTCACACGGTCTATATTTGATTTAGCAGCAAAGCGCAAAGTTATAAACGAAGTTTATCTTTCGAATACAAACTGTATAATGTGGAAGAAGATAAGGCTGTCAAATTCTTAGACGTAACTGTCAGTAACTAGATAATGTAGACAGAAAACTTTAGGCTTTCCGACTATTCACTGGTTTAAATTACAGATTAATGTTGGAACAAAAAAAAAGTCTCAGACAATATTTTTCTGTTTGTTTCATAACTATAACTTTGTACAGTCGTAAAGCAATAGTTAGTTGAATAATCCCGCAGACCATTACTATTGTATTGGGTTTAGTTTATTAATATTTGCTCTACATTAGGTAAGGGTTAACTGCGGCCTGCGTCCGGGTCATTTGACTTCCTGAACGGCAAGCCGAATTTCATGAGGAAAATAACGTTTATTAAAATTTCGTTTCGTTTTGTCCGCACATGTTCACTCACATGTTCTTACACATAACCACATACATAAACCATGATTAAGCTGTCTAAAACTAGTATTTTTGCAAGTTTGCAAACAGCAAATTACAGTTGAATCCCTGACAACCGGACTAAGAAGGCATTCTGGATATGAGGAATTGGTTAGAAAGTCCGGATATGAGGAATTAGTTACAAAGTTCGGATATGAGGAATTAGTTACAAAGTTCGGATATGAGGAATTGGTTACAAAATTCGGATATGAGAAATTGGTTACAAAGTTCGGATGTGAGGAATTGGTTACAAAGTTCGGATATGAGAAATTGGTTACAAAGTTCGGATATGAAGAATTAGTTATAAAGTCCGGATATGAGGGGTTATATTTAGATTTAAATGAAAGAACTGAAATCAGGTTTAACATTTCTTTTCAATGTTTTATAGTAAACAAAATAAGTTAATGGTGAGTGATATATAACGGAATTGATTTTAAGGAAAAAGAAATAAATTATGTAATGTTGATAAAAATTCATTAAATTAAGTATACCACGTTTCCAAAACAAATAATGTAACGAGGATTTTTTAAACGCTGTTGCATGATGATTCTTTCTCTTCTAATGTCATTCTCAACTTTTTCTGAATTTCATTTTGCTTTTGTTCTTGAAATTTTTAAGTGAAAGACACTTTTTAACACTGTGTGCGTTATTACAATCGTCATAGCTGAATGCTGACTTACTTTCCATAAAACTGACGACATTTTCAATAGGTTTTTCAACTTCAGTCCAGGTTTCATCACAATCATGTTTTTTTTTATTTCCTTGTTCATTGCGACAGTGAATGCTGAAGAATAGTTTCTTTGGAAGATTTTATATCATACAATGTTGACTTTCCTCATTCATTAGTTACAATGAACTTTCACCAGCGTCTAGTTTGGTTAAAAATTTCTGCTTTTTGCGATAACTCCAAAGTTGTTAATTTCCTGTTATTTCCATCATCTTTTGCACCAATACAAGTCATTAGGGGTGAAATAAGCATAAGCAATTACCTAAAGTAAATTTCCTGAAAAACAAATTTCAAATCAGTAACATATCACACAAATAGTTCAAATATACACATCAAAATCATGTCCGGATATGCGGGATTCCGGATATGAGGCACTCCGGATATGAGGGATTCTGGATATGAGGGGTTCTACCGTATTTTTTAATATAACGTTGTTTAAAGAATGTTTCATGATTATTTTAAACTTTCGGTGAAAGCAACATTTCCATCATTATAAACCATTGGCGATTTTTACTAAGGAAGATCATGTGTGTAAATATTATTTACTTTAGAAACAATTCATTCATAATATTTTTTTTCTCTGGAGAAGAAATACATTTTATTTTTTAAATTATTTGTTGTATTTTCGAATGAATGAATAAGAAACAAATCACATGCGACAGTGTGTGTTATTCACTGACATCTGTGATAAAATGATACCGGGGCGTCATTTCTTATCTCCAAAAACAATTAACCCTTTCTTCAATTTTGTGGCAGAGGCTTACGCGTATGGTCTTCCGTAGTGAAAATAGCAGAGGCACCTTCAACGAAAAATTACCTTGAATCATTTTAGCAGTACGGTCCCCCTTATGATGAGCCATATCTGATGCGGCCGACTGGTCGTAAAAGCTTGCCCATGCCGGCTCTATACTTTTGCAGTTTTTAACTATACCAAAATCAATAACAATAACCAACTTCTGAATATTGAAACGTCAACTTTCTGGAGTTTTAGGTTTTTTCCTACAGGACTTCAAAATGGGTTTCAACTACGAGATATCATGTCACGTCATTTCATTTCATGGCTTCTCTCGGAGAAATAGAAGTGAAATAGGCGGTGCGCATTTTACATGCGAAAGAAATAATACTCAACAGATTTATTAGGTTACATGATATCAGCTTCGAGAACGGATTCCGAGTTTGACCTAGGCTAAAAATATATACCGCAATTCCCCATATATAATACGCCTTCATCCATAATACGTACCCCTAAAATTGTGTTGAAAGTGTGGGAAAATGCTTCTACTCACGCATAATACACACTCCTTGTTTGGTAATCAAACCCTATAAATTGTACCTCTCCAATTTCATTACGGCCAGCGTTTCCTACCCTTATTTTTTAGAAAAATGGTTTTAAACATAGAATAATATTATTCTAATTTAGTTTTATGATAATTCTTATTTTATTTTACATTTGTAAGTATTTTTAGGTAGATATGATTGTATTTGACATCCTTATGGGGTTTCAATTGCCGAATGTTAGTGACAAATTGTCGTATGGTTGTGGTGAGTAGTCATTTCGCAACTGAAATCGACCTATGAAACAATTTTTTAAAGATGTTTTTGTAGCTACTTGGTCTTAATGAGAAGAAAGAAAGAAATAAACGCCCTGCCAATACCAAATAAATAATGGACTGTTCCGTTTTGACCGTGAGGAAAGACGGAAAAGACATATCAGAAACGCTGTTTGAAAGAAAGAAAGAAAGAAAGAAAGAAAGAAAGAAAGAAAGAAAAATCCAAACATGAAAGCCGTGAAAGTTTCACGGGTACGACAGTTAATGTAATTCTAGGTAAAACGCATTTAATGCTATAAAGATGAATGAAAATAGTAACTGCGTTTATATAGAGAATTCCATATTCTTTGCAATAAGGAAAAATACTAAAGACCTTTCCTTATTCTTTTTAAGTCACGCTGTTCCCTCGGCTTAAGAAAGATTATGAAACATTTTTACAATAGTAAAATGAGTACAAAAATAACATCTCTTAATACAATATTCCATGTTCAGGAATTTCTATAGCTATGCGTAGTTTTTTGTCAAAAATGATGGCCGATATTATTTTTTCAAACTCCTTTTAGTGCCTCGCCTCGCGGGTACCAATAACTTATAATCTGTCTTGAAGCGGATGACATATAAAAAGATTTTAGACTCCTGGGAGCTTCTCTTCAAGAGTAAGAAAACACCTCAGTGAGAATAATTCCTTTTCTTTTTCTGATACATTTTTGATGCCACCAGTGTTTTATTATAGCGGACTTATATTTATAGAACTCCAAATATGGAGACTTTCTTATCAGCTATTCTTTTTGTTTTTCTTCCTATTCGACGTCCATGAAAACGAAGCAGACTGGAAAAATGCTTAAATATATTAAAAGTAAGTTTTTTCCAGCATGCAGAAAAGCGCTGTTCGAATATTTATTTGATGCAGTGTAAATTTTTCTTTGCGTATCTAACAACCTAACTACGTGCAGTACGACTGGAGAGCATCAGGTTTTAGTTGCAATCTCCTTGGACAAGTTAATGGCATTTAATATTAGAAGGTCTTCCAAAGCAGTCAGTCATTAAAA